GTCACTCCTCTTCAAAATCCTCTCATGCCTTCGCTCCTCACTCAGAATACAAACCAAAGTACATACAACGCCCACCGGGAGCTGCCCGGTCGGCTCCTGCTGCATTCTGCCCTGCCTCCTCGTTTTCCTCGTCTTCCATGCAGCCCATTGCCAACACGGCACCCCCAACGTTGCTCAAACGCGTCAGGCCCGCTTCAGCCACAGGATCCGTGCGCTCGCTGTTCTCTTTGCTTGAAACGTTTTTCTCGCAAATATATGCACGACTCCCTTCCTCGCTTCCTTCAGGTTTTTGCTCAGCGGTCCTCCTCAGTGAGGTCTTCTCAGGTCACTCTGTTTTAAATCGTTTCCTCATCCCTCCTTTCCTGCTTTGTTTTCCTCCACGGCCCTTGTCTCCATCTCTCGTATTGTACAAATTATAATAACGTAAACAATAAATTAATTATGTTTTTTTTTCCCCCACTAGAATGTAAACTTCAGGAGCACAGGGATGTCTTGTCTTTTATTCCTCTGTATCTCTAGCACTAGATCAGGGCCCATAACATAGTAAGTGCTCAATAAATGTACGCTCCATGAATAAAGGAATGCTCTGAGCACTGCTTGAGGAAACCAGTCACCTGCGCAGCAGACTAAGTTGCATTCATTGTCCATCTCAAGAGGACCCTCAATACAAACTCACTCTTGTTACCGTAAGACTCTGCGGCTGTGATCAATCATTTTCGTAAAGTTCCATTAATGCTATTAAACTTACCCGTATTGACACTGATCTAATTGGGCCAGAGTGTTGCTCCCTTCCGGTTCCATTTTTCCATCTGTTCCTGAATATCTTTTGAGCATTTACTATACAATAAGCACTAGATGTAAAGTGGTACACCTCCAGTGACAACGGCCTTACCTTTGTCGGGCTTACATAATAATTTTCTGAACTTCACTGGGCACAAGGAATCGGACACTATCCCTAGAAGTCCCCTGTCCGGCTTACCCTCCAGTTTCAGCTGTCTTCTCCTGGGTCAACTAAAGCCAAACAGAATTCTAGCAAATGCTTTCAACTGAACCTTACCAACTTAATGCACACAAATCAGCTTTCGAATACTGCGCAAAACCAAGATTTAAGGATCACATATTTGAAGAGTAGTTTGAAGAAAACAGTTAGCAATGGAACTGGATCTATAAAATTTGAAAGCTTAGTGCAAATTAGCAGCAGTCTGACAAAGATTCTTCGCACAGCATTTTATGCTCCAGCTACAAATCTCAAAGAGGAAATTTTTAAAAATGACTTTTTTTTTTTACGCCTACAGCACCTGGTCTTCCTAGGTGGTCTCCCATCCAAGTACTAACCAGGCCCGACCCTGCTTAGCTTCCGAGATCAGACAAGATCGGGCGCGTTCAGGGTGGCTTGGCCGTAGACCAATGATGAAACTAATAAAGGCATTTTGTATCAATTATTTTGCAGGAATATTGTGATGTCATTAAAGTTATTGCCAGTTTTCAAAAAAAGTCTATTTCGATAATTCCTGGCATATATGAAATTGTAGCCAGAGTAATTTTTCTAATGGCTAAAAAGGTTTTCGTCTTTTGTTAGCAAATAGTCTAGTTAAAATATTTCAACCACAGACTTTCCTTTTTTCCACAGAGTACAGCCAAGTCTTGAATGAGAGCTCGGAGGTAGAGACAGGACACTGTGCCGGTCAGCAGAAAATTGTGAATCTACTCGTAGGACCTAAGCCCAATTGCTCACCTATTTCATTTGACAACCAGAAAGGCTATTTTGAGAAAATATTTGTGGCATTCTTTTTAAAGTGTCTCCAAGATAACTTTTAACAAGCATCGCCAAATGCTAATTCCCTATCTGCTTTTCCCACAAAATTTGACCCATCTGACTAATAAGCAGCTTCACCAGAAATCTAAGGACATGACAGAGTTGGAGGAAAGCGAAATCAGCTTAATTACAGGACAAATGAAAAACTGAAGACCTTTAGTTCAAAGCAATTTAGCAGAGTTGTGCTGAGACTTGCCTAGAATTCACAAAGCAAAATGGAAATAACCCCGTGTGTCCGCGTTCCTGAATAACTTTGCAGAAGCAAGATCACCATGGAAACATGCATTTTGACCTGGGACTCACCCAAACGGCACAGTAGTCACAGTTTGCTACAAATGGAGATTACTTCGGGAGCTTTCAGTGACAGCCCTGGCTCTCCTGGGAGTCACAGCACACCCAGCAGAAGTACGAGACCAGGACAGTGTTCTTAAACCTTTTGGTCTCAGAACCCTTTTACCGCTTAAAAATTATTGGTGATCAATCAGAACTTCTGCTTATGTGAGTTTTATCTATCAATATTTACATATTAGAAATTGAAATCAATTTTTAGAAATATTCATTAATTTATATTAAAATAAAACCTCCACTACATGTTAACATAAGTAATGTCTTTTTACGACAAATAACTATATTTCCACTCTCCCCCAAAATAGCAAGAAGTGTGGCATTGTTTTACATTTTTGCAATATCCTTCATATCTAGCTCAGTCGAAGTCAGCTGGACACTGGTATCTGCTTCTGCACTGAATCTACTGCCATACGCTATTTGGCTGAAGTATATGAAGAAAACCCAGACTCATACAGATGTGTTATAACAGTATTTTAATAACTTTTTCAGGTAATTGTAGCTATTCTTGCTTGATACTACACCAACACTCAATAAGTGGCAGACTTTTTTGAAGAGAGTAGATGCAATGTAATATCTAAAATGCCATCGCTTAAGTTTTCAGTTACATTAAAATCTATTGGTGTATCTTATACTTCAAATGATCTTTTCCAAGTCTTTATTTTGTTATGGTTGGTCATTTGAAAATATGATTCCCTCACTTATGCAGATGACCCAAATGCTGACATATTTAATTATACAATATAAAGCAAAATACATTGGTTTATATCACCAATGATCTCATCAGAAAAATATGTACGTTGTAGGAAACTATCAAACTCATCGTGGTGGATACAAGTTTTCCAAAGTTCTCATTTTTACTTAAAAGCTCAAGTTCTCATTGGCAGCAAACACTGCCAGCTGTTTTCCTTGAAGTAACAGTAGTCTAGTTTAGTTTATTTCTCAGGAAATGTCTGCCAAATACTCAACTCTGAACAACCACAGTTTGTTGTTCTTTAAGTAAAAATAGTATTCAATGGGATAGACAAAGTGATGGTTAGCTCAGCTTTCATCTTGAACAACAGAACAGGTGCTTCTCCTCCAGGCAATCATCGAACTGGTCATAGAGCAAAGGTTTCTTACGCATACTTCCCATTTTGTCACAATACAAATAATTAAAAAGATGTATACTTGAAACTGGAGATTGAGTAGAATTAATGATTTTTACTGCCCTCATCTAGCATATTCTTAAGTGAGCTGGCTTTTTTTTTCCCCTGTCTTAACAGTAAGTACCTGGTGGTGAAAAACACAATGATGACCAGTACGATTTGTTGCCCCTGCCTTGATTCATGGTAAGGCACTGGGTTTTGGCTCCATCGGAGACATGTCCACGCAGAGAAAAAGGCAAATAATGTCTTAGCGTTATTACGACTACAGTTGCGACCTCACACATCCCTCGCAAGGGTCTCGGAGACACCCACACACACACAGACCGGACTGAAGAGGGACACCATAGAGGAAAGCGTGGGACAGCTCGCTTGGATTCGGGGACGCCTTCTTTGAGAGTGCCCACCCCCGTGATAAGCCACGTCCCCTATGCTGTCTCCCGCCCTGTTTCTGTATCTGTGCAGACCTTTGCCTCTATCAGTGAAATCGCTTTGCCCAGCACCGGTTTTGTCACCGGAGGTGACAAAAATCTGGCGTGTGGAGGTCTTTTCTCCCCAGTGAGTGCCTATCAGGCACGAATACTCTTAATTTTCAGTCAGCCTGGAACTGGCCTCAGAAACTACTCGACCCAAGTACAGGTAGCCATAATCAATCGGGGCTCACAA